GTTAGGTGATTTGTTGTAGGTCACTCTGTATCTATAGGGCTCCTCCCTCTATACCACTCTGCCTCTATTGATCTTTTACATTTAAAAAACTAGCTCTACATGTGCTATATCACAAAGCCAAGGCACATGTCAAAAATAGATATTTTCATATAATTACTAACCAATGCCACCCTTTCCATAAGGATAATTTTATTGACCTGTTGTGGCTATGGTGGCTTTTGAGTGATTTTCTGTCTTAGAAGTTAGAGAAGAATGCACAGCTCACAGCATTGATAATATATGAGCTGAAACACAAAGTTAGAAGAAACCCATTCAACAAACACAGGTATTACATGAAATGCTACAGGAAAACATATGCAAATAGACCAAGGCTGGAGAACTAAATGGTGTGTGTTTATAAACAGAGAACAAAGGTTGGGCGGGAAAATAAGTTGCCAAGATTGCTAGCAAGGCAGACAGGGGGAGATGTTTTGATACTGACCTGAAGTGAATGGAAAGTTTTAAAAAGTCACTAAATAGATGAAAATCCACAGAACTGGTGATCTTTTTAAAATGTCTGTGTGCTGGGGAGACAGATTGTGGTGGTGGATTAGACAAATGGAAACCACATGAAGAAATAAGTTAGGGGAAGTATAATGGAGTGGCAGTGCACCTAACATTGCTTCCCTACAGATATCCATTTAGAAAATATAGCTGGTATAGGCTTACGGTAGATCTTTGAAGAGGAGATGGAAATAAGATGATCAGGTCATGGGTTTGTATGTTTATTCAGGCAAGAGATGATGAAAACTAGAACTAGGGTCTCACCAGGAGAGATCAAATTTGGGAGACACATAACTTGGTTCTTACTTGGACATGGGGCTCTAAAAGAGAAGGGGAAGCTGTAAATGAGGGAGACACTTAAGTCAATGTAACTGAATGCTGAGTCATGAGTTCCAGTTTTTGAGATAAGAAACAAAAGAAAAAAGAATGTAAGGAATATTGAGTTCAATTTTAAACAAAGTGAGGTGCTGGCAGAATAATCATGTGAAGATGTTGATTAAGCAATTAGAAACACAGTTATAAAACTCTGAAGATTTTATTTATGAGTGTTAATTTTCTTAATAAAGAAGAAAAATAAATTATTGCTTATTACTTATGCACAAATCTTTTTTGTTTTTAATTACATTACTACTTATAATTAATGTCCATTGCTTCCCGAAAAGAACACTTAGCTATTCTTCAATTATCTAATGAAATGCATTTCTTGTTTGCCATCATTTTCACTGAAGGTAAAAAAACAAAGAATTTAGTGGCTAATAATATGGCATGCTAAAATAGATGATTGCTACAATGTGGCTTCAGTATTTTAAAATGTAGTCAGCTTTTATTGTTGTTTTATTTTTAACACTGTGGGTTAAATGATTCAGTTTCTGCCAAAGAAAAATTTTTTTGAGAAATAAGAGATGGTGAACATGGTCAAATATTATCTAGAGGTCGCATAATATGATGCAAAAAAACTATCTCCTGGATTTGACAATGGACGTATTAGCGGTCATCTTCCCAGAAGAGATTTTAGGAGGAGGTCGCTCAACAGGAGTGGCTTCATACCCACTCAGCTTTATTTTAATCTATTCTTTCATTATTTTCTCAAAGCTCGGGGGAATTTTTGTCCGCTTCATAATTAAGCTGACTCCCTCTATCTATAGTGTGTAGCCCGGCATGTCATCTCTGGGGCAGTTCTGTCTGAATTAAATCTCCCTCTGAGATCCTCCTCTCCCTGGGATGCTCCACCCTGTCACACAAACAACACCTGGTTCCTTGACTCCTCCTGCTGGAATGTAGCATTTTGTCTCCCCTTAATGACAAACTGCTGAAGAATGTAGCTTGTGTGCTGCCTCCACTTACTATTGATAAACTCTTTTATTAATTCCTATAAGCTTTCTATTTTCACCAATTTCCTCTCCAAGAGGTCACAAGATGACAGGTTTTTGTCAAAGATAATGATTTTCCTCAGTCATCACTTCCCTGGACTTTCCTTAGACATTGTTACTGCTGATTTTTCTACTTTGTCTTGGAAGTGTCTCCTCTTTGGGATGCTGATAAACTGTGTGTACTGATTTCCCAGTTCTTCTACTTTTCCAAAAAGCTGCCCTTCATTTCCTTCTCTATTTTTTTTTTCCCTCCACATTCCTTTTTCTTGAAGAAATTCTTTTTTCCTTTGGCTTCTAACCCTAAACTTCTAAACTCATGGATACAAAACCTAGTCTGAGGATTCAAAGTGATTGTTTCCAATTTCCAAGTGTCTCTAGGACACCCCTATGTGGATGTCCCACCAGCATCCACCCCACCTGCTTTTCCTTTGCAACTTCTACATTTGATCACTTTCTTCATCGTTTCATGCTTGAGACCTTGCAGTTATACGTAGCTAATGTCATCAATTTCTTGCCTTTTCCTGTGAAACAGCTTGATAATTACAAAAGCAGTGATAGTAATAGAGACTATGATCATATTTTTAAATTGTTTGTATTCATATACTGAAAGGATATATAACAAGATGTTATTAGTATTTTTCAATGGGTTGCTAGGTCCTGTGATGGTGATTTTTAAAAACTTAATTCCTAATAATTCCACACAGAACATTAGGATGGCTATAAATAATCTTTAAACAAAATTCACTTCCTTATTGCTGCCTCTCTGTACCTACAGGTATCAATTTCTCCCATCTCTATCATACTTAGATTACTATAAAAGTTCTTGTGCCAAATCTCCGACTCAAAATTCTTCCTATAGGATTTCACCCTGCATGACATTATAAGACTCACGATACCACTTTCTTCTCATTCACCTTTTAAGGCTCCTAAATTTTTCATTCTGGCTTCCTGAGCCCCCTTTCCTAGATTCCCAGAACCACGCTCACAGGGCTACACATCACTGCTGCAGTCGTGCCATCTTCTGTCCCTCATGTGACCCCTGGAATCTCCTTTGGTCCTTGGTCCTCTCCTCACTGTCCTCTGCTTACGCCATGTGCATCCCTACCTCCGGCTTAGCTCCTAAATACAGCTACCATTTACAGAAGTTGAACCCCTTGGCAAACAACAACTCCGTTTTTTTATAACATCCCTACCAGGTGGGTATGATGACTTTTATTCAATAGAGAAGAAAACTGAAGCTCAGAAATGTTAAGCAAAGTTACACCCCTGGCAAGTGGCAAAGAGAATGAAATTCATGTCTTTCTACTATAAAGCTAGTACTTCTTCCACCATGCTTTATAATCATCTACCTGTCTCAGATGCTTTTGCATGTCCTTAAAATCCCAGCTTAATCCATCTTCTCCCTGAAGTTTTCACTGACCGACCCAGACTGCCCCCTCGCCCTGGACAACTCGAGCTCTCTTCGCTAATACAGCTAATTGCCTTGTAGCCATCTTTCAGTAGTTCATGTCCATGTCCTTGATCATACTCTCTTGGGATGAAAACAGCTCATCACCTGTTTCTAAATTTTGTGTCACCAAACACAATTCTTGACATACGGCAGTGATTTTAGCATATATGTTTTCAATAAATTGTAAATTATTTGCATTTTATAGTAAAAGCTACCTTGAATGCTGAGTTTTCTTTCTTTATAGGAAGATTAAAAATAAACATACCAAAAATAAACATAAATGTTTAATGTAAACTAATAATAAGACATTTATAGTGCATGTATTACTCTTTCCAATATATATCCACAGTAACGTAAAGCATAAAATACAATGTTATGCTTACAGAAAGGGGCAACACCATGTATCTTTTTTACCTGATCAGCAGTCACTCCCTGACTCTGGTAAGAGTGCTAACAACCGTGTAGAGCAATTTTTATACATCGTTTTTCCTTCTCTGCTGATAAATCTAAAGCTCAATTATAACTTTTGTTATATGTCATTTTGTCAATATCATATATTTTTCCTACTGTTTAAAATTGCTCATTTTTCCATTTATCTTTCAGAGAATGCATACTTTCAGATTTTATTAAGTCACTTAAAATGACTATGTTCATTTACTAAAAGTAAGAAAACACTTAAACAATTCCTTTTGATTTGTTGGCAGTAATTTCAGTAGAAGTGACAATAATTCAGATTAATATTCAACTGTACATAACAGGGTAAAACAAGAATTACTTAAATGTATGTTAAAATCTGTAAAAATGAGTATATGCAAATATCTTAAGACGAATGATATGAGTATCTGGTATAGATACAATTCTTCTTTTGCATATGTAGACATAGACATATAAGTATACAAAATATTTGGGATAGTATCAGCCCTAGAAAGATTGTAATTAATTGGAATTTTCCTCAGAAGTTTTAATCTTTTTTCTGCACTTTATTCTGTGATATTTCTTTTTCTAACTTTTAACACCTGTCTTAAGAGTGACCAGCTAATCGCATCTTCCTTTCTTATAGAAATTGTTTTCAGGAAATCTCTTTTAAAAGTATTCCAATTTTCAGATTAATTGTCAATAAGACCATGGATTACCCCTCCAAAGAATATCCGGATATTTAATTAGTGGGAAAGAAAATGGTTGAATCTGTTATGTTGAATCACATTAAACTGCTGTTTTCAAGGTAAAAGATGTTTGAGTATAGGTGATTTCATAAGGTTCAACAATTATAAGAATAAGGTGTAGTAGGCATTTGTCACAATCTGGCTAATTCCTCTGAAATTCAAATTGTTCCCTTAGCACTTTGTAAACAGTGTTCAATTGCCCAGTAGATAAATAAGGAGCAGCGTATGTTAACAGTTTCAATTCTTTGACAAACTTACTCAAAATTTGCTACCAGAAAACAGAATCTATATTAATTTTAGCATACATTTGTTTATTGCTTATTACAATTAAAACATTCGGGGTGGGTGGGAACACAAGTATTTTTTCAATGTTTTCAGCATCTCAAGGCCTTACACAGTCCTGATTATAAAACCAATCCTGTTTAATACAAACAGAATACATATTTGTATGTAAATATTACAAAGTGTCCTTACCTGCTTTGGATATCTTTTCTTCTTTTTTAATTTCAGGTTCTGGGGTAAAACATTTACATATACACACACAAACAAACAAATAGGAAAAAAATGAGCACTTAAAGAAAAAGCAGTACTCAGTGGAATAATAGGCAAGTTTACTAGATTTTTTTCATTTGTCTTCAACTTCAATTATAGTTACACACTTTAATCAATATACAATGGAACATGTTATTTGTAGCAAACTATTTAAAGTAATTTAAGCAGAAGAACTTTTATTTAAAATCCAGTTTGCTAAAAAAGTGTTTCATTAATCAAGGAATTTGGCATTTTGTCTTTAATAAGAGCCCATTTCTTATGATTAATAAATTCCCTAAGTATTACAAATAAGGAAATGAACCTAAACTGCTCAGGAAAAAAAGTGTTGTAATTTTTCCTAATTTGCCCAATTTAAGCAATTTTCTATTTTTGACTACATACATTAAATTCATGGAGCGCCATCTGGTGGTTAATTTAATCACTTCAAACTGGTATATTTGTTTATTCTAGTATTCGTTATTAATCTTATAAAATAAAATAAATTGGCTTAACTTCAGTATGATAATATAAACACATTAAAATCAAGTATTTTGCTTTCTTAGTGTCCTAGGACAATGGCATTTGTCCATAAACTCTGCATTCAAACTTCATATCAGTATGGGATAGGTACATAGTTTTTTCAGCTATCCAAGTAATATTCATAACACTATCCCAACCACCGTAATAATTGACTATGTCTTCATGTCCCCAAGTTCCTTCCTCTTCTTTAAAAAATTTTGCCTTGGCCTCATAGCTCCTCTTTCTTGGCATAAAGTCTTGTTTTGATTGATGGAAAGGCTCTGGTACATTACAATTTTTCCTTCCTTCAGACAGCAGAAAAACTGATCTCATGGTTAGGATATCACCGAGTGCAGACTTTGTGTCAGGAATAGTGCTGACCAGCTTTATTTGGGTTTTAGCCTAATAGAGTCTCAGTTTCCAGAGTTACAATAAGGAAAAAGAAAAGCTCATTTGCTTAACTGTAGAATTTTATATAATAGAGAGTTACATAGCCCTTCACACTCTACTTCTTGTAATGCTTGAATGCACATCCTGTACGAAGGGATTTATCTGCACTATTATTGCACTTCCACTCTCCCTGGCACATCTCTCTCTCTCTTTTTAGTTAACACAGTCTACTTAGCTGGGTAGGACATAAGCTCTTTTAATGATTTCCGTGTGCCTTAATGCTATATAAAATTTTGGTCTACAACTTTTTATTTAATTTTTATTTATTGTCTGTATCCCCTCTTTAGATTTAAGTTCCATAAGGACAAGAGCTGGGTCCTGTTTACTACTCAAATATCAGCATTCGGTCAAATATCTAACACATGGTATGCAATCAATAAATATTGCAGAATGAATGGGTGAGTGAACAAAACAGTGAATGTAGAAAGAGGAAATGCCCCCTCTTGTGTATCTGCAGTCTTGGAGATAAAAATTCAGTGCCCTCGGATGGGGTCCGTAGGCATTGTGCTCACCACGAAGAGCTGTCTGTCTGAAAGAGCTTTGCCCCTCACTCTGCACCTGGTTCCCTCCCTTGTCAATCACACTGCCACTGTAATCTTGACGTGGAGTCATTTTACCCTTAATGTTTGTCAAAAGATCTTTTGTAAAAAATAAAAGTTATAGGGAATATTTTTTATCAGCTATGAGCACAATACAATCAGAAGCGACTTCTGTGTTGTTCACAGAATTTTATAACCACTCTTATGATCATTCAACATGCACGTGGCTGTGGACCCTCTCACAATGACAGACCTACTACCAACTTTTGGTGTGATGTGAACAACACTAACAAGATAACCTCACAAGTTATGAGTTCTTAGGAAGTGTGGAAAGGAGGCTCTTGGATCACAAAATCTGACTTTAAAAGCAAGCTTGTTTTCTTAGTTCTGTGACCTTGGGTGCTATTTAAAACTTCAAGTCTCAATTTTATCACTGATAAAATGGAGAAAACAATATTGTAAAATTGATGTGAGAATTATGTATGAAAAGAGCTTACTTATGTTAAAATAATGCTCATAAACTTAAATGATCTCTCAAGGTAATTTTCTTTTCTTTTTTATAGAATTGGGGCTTTACTCTTGAATATGCAAAGCAGGAATTGATATATGAGGATTTCTAAAGTGAAACCTCTCTTATTAGGCTATTTGGTCACTAAGAACTCAGTGCCCTCATTTTGTAAATGACTCTTCTACTGAAGTTAAAGGCCTTAATTTTTGAGTCATATCTGGATGCCTGTTCTTAGTTATATAAAAACGACATCTATATATACATCCAGATGTATATATAGAGATACATATATACATTTTTTAAAGTTAAGTCAAAAGTCTTCATTGAGAAGTTTCAGGAAAACTAAAAACAATGATAAATGCTGAAGGTTGAGACCTGGAGGCCAGAAAGAAGGATTGGGAACTTATTTTCAGCCAAACTATACTGTTTAACATTTTTATCATTGATTATTATTGTATAATTTTAAAAAAATCTGGTTTCCATAAACATTTTTCACTTGAGCCCTTCATTTTTGGCTCCACACACAAGAACTGCAGAACCATGGAATCAAGCAACCCCCATGCTGAGTGGTTGGGGCAGCGACCTGCCATTTCCTATGCAGCGCTGACTTTTCCAGGCTGTTGATTTCATTTATGAAACATACATTGCTGATGGGCCTGGGGAGGGGAGCTTCATCAAGGATTTTTCAATGTCATCAACACTATGGTCCCAAGGAAAGCAGGCCAAGCAAAACTTCAGCATGCACGTGCTGGAGCCAGAGGAGCGCAACAGTGGAGATCAACTCTGTTTAGGAGTCTCTGCTGTGTCTTCATAAAATGAGAAGAAAGAAATCTACACAACATACAAATTCCAAGAATGTGCATTCTTTTAAGAATGTCTCCATTTTAAATACTTAGCAAGGTAGATGCTGAATGCCACTGCTTTTTCTTTTCCCAATCTTGTTTGTTCTCATTATCACATTCGCTTCTTCAGCACAGCCTTATATGTGTAATAAAATATAATAATAATTATTATTGATTTTGTAACCAGCGGTGTTTTGTACTTTCTGCATATACTAAGTGTATATCTGCATCATCTAGAATTTATTTATAGAATATTAAATATTCATGAGTTTGTTAGCTCTCTAACCCCAGTAGAATATCAACTTCTTGAGTCCTGGGATGAATTTTCATTTTCTCTGCTGTATGGTAGTGCCTAGATCAGTGCTTTACACAGACTAGGGATCAATAAATATTTGTTGCACAAATGACCAATTACCTTATATAATCCTTGTGAACCCTCCTATTAAGTAAATACTATTATTATACCCACTTTACAGATAACAATACTGAGGCTTAATACTCATCTAAGTGTGTACCCCTATGAAATGGAAAAACTGGTATTTGAATGCTAATTTTTTCCAATTCCAAAACTTTAAGCACTTCTAAGCACACTGCTATAACCACCGGTTGATACAGATAGAATAAAAGCTTTTAAACATTTTGTTCATAAAAACTACATAGTAAGCCACGTACTACATCTTATAGGTACAAACTACTAACAGAGTCATTAAGATTGTGATTGACATGAGCAATTAAGTCACTGAGGTTGCTAATTTTTTTCAGCCAGTCATTAAATCATGAATCATATAAACAGTTTCCTAAATCAAGCCAGTTAAACTAGATAAATTGGATAGGAAACTGATAGCTGTCCCACTCAGTCCCGGAGTAGTACTCGATATTTAAAGGCATGAAAAATTTCACATTTAAAAGCAGATCACCAAACCTACTTTTGTAAAATATACAAAGGAACTTCAGCATTGTTATCCCTAGTTAACTGTATGTGAGTTTTGGTCCTAGGGGATCTGGAAAGCTTGGTGGCAAAGGAAGCAGGTCACATTGCCAGGCATGAGTTCCAAATCCACCTCAGGTGGCTGTGTGACCTGGGCAAATCACTTCCAGTGCTTCAATTTTCACATTAGTAAAAAAAAGAATTGCTGTGAAAATTAAATTAAACACTACATGTGAAGCACTTAGAAGAGAGTCAGATACAAAGCAGTGTATGTTAGTCTCTTTACTGATAATTAAAATTATTTTTCTTATATTTTTATACCATCATGTTAAATAAAATACATTTAAATATAATTTTTTTAAAAAACAAAGCTATATTAAAGTAATATTTATAAACTTCTTCTAAACCCATGAGTCTGACATCATTTCAGTAACCATTTGCATTTTTTGATGAAAATCTGCTACCACTACTATTACATACACATGTGGACGTACACAACTTTACTGTGTCCTCCTTATGTTATTTAACAACAAATGGTATGAAGAGCACACCACACACACACACACACACACACACACACACATCCCCTTTCACATTTTGTCTTCTGCTTGAGGCTTTATTGCATGGGTCAAAGAACTGTCACAGCAATCAGCTTGGCTACAAAATTTGGGATTTGGGAGAATCCTCATTGAACTCATATTTCTTCTTAACCACGTCTTAAGAAGAATTTGCAACTATGAGGTCTGTTTTAATAGGGAGCATTTGATTTCATCTGCTATGAACACATTACTCTGTGATTCAGGTAAAGACAACAGTGAGAAAGACAAGACCTGACCACCTTTCAGTTTGATCTGGAACTTCTTCAGTTCATAGACTTCCAAAAGAAAAACCCATCCTGAGTTTGGGTGAGGTCACGCAAAGAATCAACATCTGACACCCTCTACTCTACAACCTTCCATCTTATTTCTGTCTTTCTCTCCTTCAGTAGTCCGTGGAATGTTAGTATTTCCCCTTCCTCTTATTTAACCATGTTCATATGGTTATGAAACCTCATGTATTCCCTATGCTTTATTTTTCCTGCTTGAGTTTCTAAATCAGTGTTAGCCTTGGTTGGAACGGAGGAACTCCTTCATGCATGATAAAGGGGCGAGGTGACAGTGTGCTCAAGTATCGCCCAGCCTCATCCAAGTCAAGGA